CTGATAAACAGAGTCTCAGAGACAAAAAGCCTTGATGAAGATCACACAGACACTGATAAACAGAGTCTCAGAGACAAAAAGCCTTGATGAAGATCACACAGACACTGATAAACAGAGTCTCAGAGACAAAAAGCCTTGAAGATCACACAGACACTGATAAACAGAGTCTTAGACAAAAAGCCTTGATGAAGATCACACAGACACTGATAAACAGTCTTATAGACAAAAAGCCTTGATGAAGATCACACAGACACTGATAAACAGAGTCTTATAGACAAAAAGCCTTGATGAAGATCACACAGACACTGATAAACAGTCTTATAGACAAAAAGCCTTGATGAAGATCACACAGACACTGTGCATGAAGGAAACAAATGTGGAAGTGTGGCTCTGTCTGTGCTGCATGTAGTGACAGGGGTTTCCCAGGAGTGTTGTGTTGTGTGTCTCGTGAACTGTTTGAGATGTGTGCAGAAACACACGTATCAAACAGTTAACCACGAGCAATAATAAGTAAAGACTGATGTTTATCACTCACTGTTTTAGGCCTCTACAGCAACAGGAACTGCAGCTGGTGACCAAGGAGAGATTCTGAAGCTGCAGAAGATTATTAAGGTAAATGTTACACCTTATTCTGTTCTATTCCATTCAAAAATACTTATTAAACTTTAATAATAATACTTATCAATACTTTAATTCTTACTTAAAATACTTACTGTATTTATTCATGTATAATACGAGAAATTTAACCCAAAAAATTATTCATAAAATGGGGAATAGTATTATACACAGGTTATTGATAATTAGATTATTATGCTTTGTAAAATCAATAAATGATGATCGTATTATACATGAATAAATACCTTATACTCAATAATACTTAGTATAATCGTGTGTCCAGTTGATATTATATTAGAGTGAAACAGAAAGTTTATAGTAATAATAATGATTAATAATAATTATATAATAATGACCCTGACTCTGTCGGAGCAGGAGCTACGAGATGAGATGAGTCGTGAGGTGGATGAACATCAACATGAGCTAACAGCTCTTCAAGATGCTCAGAGACAGAAGATGGCTGAAGTTAGCCGACGGCACAGAGAAGAGCTCAGAGAGTACGAAGAACGCATCGAGGAACTGGAGGAACACATTCATACTGGTTTGTTTTCTGCTTTACTGGTTGTACTTTCTTTGTGCACTGCCTGAACAAAAACTGGTGTCCATTTAACTGAGCTCTATGATGTGGGGTCTACAGGTGGTCAGGTCTATGATGTGGGGTCTACAGGTGGTCAGGTCTATGATGTGGGGTCTACAGGTGGTCAGGTCACCTGACCTGATTGACCAGGTTATTCATCAATGA